ATCCCCAAAGCCCAGGGCCACCTTATTTCATGCATACCTGCTTCATGCCAGAGCACCAAGAGGGCTCTAAACAAGCTGGTGTTTCCCTGCTAGCAGAACCCTACACGGCACACACAAGCCAGGATTCTACTGTGTGCACCTCTCTTGGGAATTCCAAAGTGCTCTCATCCAGGTGGAAAGACTTAGAAAAATTTTACCTGCTCAGGAGCATGAAGGCACTGGGTCTTCTTATAATCAGAGAGGAATAACCTGGTGCGTCAGATCCAGAAAAGGAAACCTGAAATGGGACTACCCTAGTTTCAGCTCTTATCATTCTTTGTAAGTAGCTGCGGAGAGTCCTCACTGGTCCCTGCATGACAATTCCTGTGTATACAAAAAAGCATGCTTTTTCGGGGGGGGGGTCTTGTTTAAGAAATAAATATTTTGATATCTACATATTTATATATTAATACTTTCATTTATATATATCTTATGGGTAATTTCTATTTAGCAATCACATACACACAATTTTTTTATACTCTTTAGTGAAGCACCCCAGTCTGGCAGATAAAGATACATGTTTATATTAATAAACTTCTATATTTATGCATATTCATGTTTTAAAATTTGCTTCATATTTCTGTATACATATTTGTACATATATAATTTGGTGGGGGTTATATTTAATTATTCATCAAACTGGGTTATCACTGACTGAAGTGACTATTCATGACTCAGACCGGCATTAAGAACCAGGAGATGTATGAAACTATCACCAAGCTGCCAGTTTGATCTCTTGAAAGATCTATTCCTAATTCCCCTCAATTAGCTGCACTGAACATCTTCACTGGCCAGTTCTCAAACACCAACTCTGCAAGAAATGTCTGTCCCCACAAGCTGCGCCCTAATTTGGCTACAGCCATCATCTATCCAACTGGGGAGATGGAGCCCAGTACTGGACTTTTGCCCTGGTTTCCTTTGAATCACTTATGTTGGTGGCCAGACAGGGTTGGCACCTGTTCTGTGAGAAATTCCCCAAAACACAGAGTATGTTTCAGATATTTGACCTGCAGATTTTTCAAATCTCGGGTCCCATTCAGAACAGAGAACTGGTACGTCATGGAATGTGTTACTTTCAAATCTGGGCCCTGGGAATCTCCCAACTGCCAAGAGGAGAGGATACTCCAATATTAGCAACGCCATCCACGTGGTTTTATGCCATCTTACCCACAAATGTTTACTGCCAGAGCGCTGGAAAAACTCTGAACAAGCTGGTTTTCATTTCCAGAGAGATCCCCACACCACTCACACAAACCAGGCCTCCACTATATGTGACTCCTTTGGCAGTTCTAAAGAAGGGTTCTAATCCAGAGAGATATTCTAAGTATCCCAGCTCCTCACAAGAGGGCTAAGGCACTTGGTCTTGTTGGTTAAATGGGCATTGTGCTGGTGCTTGAGGCAAGGGTCCCTAGAAACTGGCTCTGAGGAACTCCCTGGAACTCTGGAAACTCCTGCTATGCCCCCTCTTCCCTCGTGTTGCATGATTCTGCTAGCATGAATGCCCTTGCGGGGTCAGCACTGTGGCACAGCAGGTAAAGCCACTGCCTGCAGTGCCAGCATCCCATATGGGCGCTGGTTTGAGACCCAGCTGCTCTACTTCCAATCCAGCTCTCTGCTTCTGGCCTGGGAAAGTGGTAGAAGATGGCCTAAGTCCTTAGGCCCCTGCCCCCGTGTGGGAGACCTGGAAGAAGCTCCTAGCTCCTGGATTCGGATTGGCACAGTTCCAGCCATTGCGGCCAACTGAGGACTCTCTCTGCTTCTCCTTCTGTTTAACTCTTTCAAATAAATAAGTAAAAATAAATAAATAAAAAAAGCTCTTGCCTCTCTTTCAAATAATATAGTATTTTAATTAAAAAATAACAAAAAATTTTATGGAAAAACTATGTGTATATGAAAGTGTGCTCTTTTCAGCTTTATGCCAGAAATATGTATTTTGATATTTATGTTAATATTCTGCTTTATATACCTACACGTTTTGTGGGTATGTTTATACTGTACGTAAGCCTAGTGATATTTTCCTCTACAATGGTAGATGAAGCAAAACATAATAAATTTCTGTGTATTTATGCATATCAAAATGTTTAATTTCTATTTTTTCCTGCATGCATTTGTGAATATTTTCCAGTGTACATACTTTATTATTGATCCAGGCAATTGGCTGAGGTAACTGTTCATGACATAGACTAGCACTGAGAACCAAGAGATGAGGGTAAATATTACCAAGCTGGTAGCCTCAGAGCTTCTGTAGGGCCCATTGTCTGAGGCACCTCTGTAACTGTGGTGTTGTGGGAACACTCACTACACATTTCCCAATACTTCTTCTGAATGATCTGTCTCTCCCAGCATGCTGAGCCCTAACATGACTCCAATAATCTACCCATTGAGTAGTTACAGCCCAGCAGTCAAGCTCTGATCCAGTTTAATTAGTGGTCCACCCACTTTGATGGCCAGAATGGGTAGGCAGTCCCATCCCTGCCTTGGAAGCCTCTCAATGACATATGCTTCAGGAACCTGGCCCTCAAATTTTCTTAATCCAGGCCTCATCTGGCTTCATCTACAACCACCTAGAACTAGGGGGAAAAAAAAGCTTGGTGTGGAATGTGTCGTTTTCAGCATCTGATACAAATCCTTGAACTTGAGAATCATCCAACCACCCACAAGAAACTCCAAAGGAGGGCTATCCCTGTAGCCTGTTATCATCTCACCCCATGCAGACTCCCATCAGCAACCTGAGAGTTCAGAACAATCTGGACTTTAAGCACAGTATATTCCTATTATATCCCATTTTATACTCCTAATGCTTTTGCTTATTTATTGGGTACTTATTTTTCTGTGTACATACTTATAAATCTGTATTTTGGATGTGTGTGATTCTATTAACATTCTTCAAACCAGGCTAGTGTTGGCTGAAGGGACTATCCAGGACTCACACCAGCATTGAGAACCAAGAGGTGGATAGAAATATCACCAAATTTCTGTCTTAATATCCCTTTCAAGGACTATAGCCTGGGGTCTTTCCCTTCAGGTGCCCTGAGGATATTTCAATGCATATAACTCAAACACCAGCTGTTTCCCCATACAAGTTGAATCCTACTTTGGTCATATTCACCATCTACTCAATTAGGGAAAACAGCCCAACACTTGATTTTTGACTTACTTCCCTTAGTGGGCCAGTTGCTTTGGTGGTCAGAAGGGTTGGCAAGCCAATCCTATCTTCTCAATGGAAGCTTCTCAATTAAACATGCAGTACTTATTCCCAGGTGCTTCCAATCCAGGACTATCAGTCTTAATTTGCAAGGCTCCATTCTAGTCAGAATCCAGAACTGGTTGGTTCTGCAATGCGTAGCTTTCATTGTCTAACGCCACTATCCCTGTATCCCTGTATCCCAGTGCCATCTTTTTTTTTTTTTTTTAAGATTGTTATTTATTTGAGCGAGAGTTACAGACAGTAAGAGGAAGAGACAGAGAGAAAGGTCTTCCTCCTGTTGGCTCACTCTCCAAATGGCTGCAATGGCTGGAGCTGCACCAATCCAAAGCCAGGAGCCAGGTGCTTCTTCCTGGTCTCCTATGTGTGTGCACGGGCCCAAGCACTTGGGCCATCTTCTACTGCTTTCCCACTCCACAGCAGAAAGCTGGACTGCAAGAGGAGCAGCCAGGACTAGAACCAGCACCCATACAGGATGCCAGGGCCGCAGGCGGAGGATTCACCTACTTTGCCAAAGCGCCGGCCCCGCCTAGTGCCATCTTACCCTACAAGCACTTGCTTGTTCCTAAAGCACAGGGAGGACTCAGAACAAGATCTTCTGCATGTACTGGGAGAACCCAGAACCCCACACACAAACCAGGATCCCACACTTTGTGTCTCTCTTGGGGTCCATTCACACTGTTAGTTTAAGGCAACATTCCAGCTCCCGACAGGAGGATTAGAGCCCATGGTCTTATTCTGCTCAAAGGGCATTTCCCCTGTGTTTGGGATAAGGGAAAGGCCACCTCACAGTAGCAACCATGGACCCTGCTAGGTTTTTTGGCTCCCATTCTTGCCATTCAATGAGTGGCCACTGGTCTCTGGTAAGAGAGCACATTCCTGTGTACATATGTAAGATAGAAGATAGTATGTTATTCTTTTGTTTTATATTTTGGTATTTATGTATTAACATTCTGCTTTGCTTATCTATGTTTACATATAATCTACACTGTTTCAGGTCACCTAAATCTCAATCTTGATGAGATCTCCTCATTGAAACTCCCAACGGAGGCACGTAAACTAGAGTTCTGGCTTGGACGGGTGGTATGTGTTATTCACAGGAAACGAAGACCAGCTTTTCCTAAGCCTTTGGAGTCCTACAGTGTCATTGAATCTGCATGGAGGAAAATGGAAATGGGCTACAGGAATGACCCACTACATTTGGAATGTCCTTTGGGGATTGCAAAGGTCAGCATTTGAGATTGGACACTGAAAGCTACATATTTCACAGCAAATTGGAAGTGTTTTGTTCTGGCTAGAGCTGGAGCCCCACAGACTAGGCCTGAATGAGACGTGGATTAGCTACATCTGTAGGCTTGAACATATCCAATAGTTTGAGAATCACCTAGTGCAGGAAACTGGCCTGCAAATCCTTCTGCCACCAAGGAAACTAGATCAAAAGCTGAGTTTGTATCCCCAGGTGAATGGTTAAGTGTGGGCTCACCTTCTGTGGGGAGAATTTCCCACAGTTGTTGTTAGGGGACTCTGTGGTCAATATGATAGGCCCCAGGCCACGGACCCTATTAGGAATGTTAGGGCAGTAGCTTGCTGACATTTTTACACATCTCTTGGTTCTCATGTTAAGAGTCATGAATAGACACCTCAGCCAGTAACACCCCAGTTTCACAAATACAAATTCAAAAATATATACCTATATATATATATATGTGTGTGTGTGGGAGCTCAAAAATGTTTGTAAAAAAGTTGAACGACAGAATAAAATATATAAGCTTTATTTTTCAACATAAGCTCCATCAACATCAAGATACAGCTGCAAGGGATAATAGCAGTCATCTAGACAATTCCTAAAGAACTGAGGATACTAGGCATTTAACTATGTGAATACAGTCTGTTTTTACATTTTTAAGTGAAGAAAAAATGGGCTTTTTAAGCCTTACTAACATTAGGAAACAAACAGAAGTCAAAGGAATCAAATCCAGACTAGCAAAGCTGCATGTTTGGTCAGAGGAATAAGCAGGAGCACTGTTATGGTGCAGAAGGGCTCTCTGATGTGGCTTTCCTGGCCAATTTTCCACTAAAGCTTTGAGTAATAGTTTCAAAATACTCTCACAACTCACAAATATCATTATTTGGCCCTCAAAGTCAACAAGTAAAATGCACTGAGTATTCAAAAAAAAAAAAAAAAAAAAAAAAGGTTGCTATGACCTTTTGACCTTTTTTCTTGACTGGACCACTTCCACCTCTTGGTAGCCATTGCTCTGATTGTGCTTTGTCTTCAGGACAGCACGGGTAAAGCCGTTTCATCTCCTGTTACAATTCTTCTAAGAAATGCTTCAGGATCTTGATCCCACTCATTTAAAATTTCCTTTGCAAGCTCCGCTCTTGTGTGCAGCTGATCTGGGCCCAACAATCTCGGGACCCATCGAGCAGACAGCTTGCTCAACTTTAACTTTTCAGTCAGAATCTTGTAAGCTGAACCAATCGAGATGTCTATGGTGTTGGCAATTGCTTTTGCTGTTAATGGTCGGTCCTCTTCAATGAGGGCACGGACAAGATTAATCTTTTCCTCGCAAATTGATGTAGATGGCCTGCCACTGCGAGCTTCATCTTCGACATCCTCTCGACCCTCCTTAAAACGAGTTATCCATTTGTAAACTGCTGACTTCTTTGGTGCACTGTCCCCATAAACTTTTCGTAAAGCATCAATGATTTCACCATTCTTCCACCCAAGCTTCATCATAAATTTGATGTTTGTTCTTGCTTCAATCTTAGCTGAATTCATGTTGCTCTGATAAGGGCTCTTCTCAAACTGATGTCTTATCCTTCTTTTGTCAAACTAGGTTCTGTTCAGACATGTTATAGTAAGTTAGTACAAATTTATTTTTATGCAAAATAATTTTGAAGTCCATGCATGGTTTTTCTCATAATACACATTTTCCATTAATACAATACAGTTTACTAGTCACTAAATTTGTAAGACACAAATTATTTCACAAGGTTATGTTAATCTTTTAAGTCCCAAGTTTCAATTGTATGAATATTTCAATGACATATTATTTATTTCAAAGTTAACCTAAGTGGTATATTTATTGCTCCCTTTAAGTCTTTATAGGTGTCCTACATACACAACAATGGGACATAATGGGTTAAAATTCACAAAATGACGCCAGCACACCGGGTTCTAGTCCCGGTCGGGGCGCCGGATTCTGTCCCGGTTGCCCCTCTTCCAGGCCAGCTCTCTGCTATGGCCAGGGAGTGCAGTGGAGGATGGCCCAGGTGCTTGGGCCCTGCACCCCATGGGAGACCAGGAAAAGCACCTGGCTCCTGGCTCCTGCCATCGGATCAGCGCGGTGCGCCGGCTGCAGCGGCGGCCATTGGAGGGTGAACCAACGGCAAAGGAAGACCTTTCTCTCTCTGTCTCTCTCTCTCACTGTCCACTCTGCCTATCAAAAAAAAAAAAAAAATTTCACAAAATGGGATTTAAAATATTTAAAGTCAGAATCACAGTGTGGAAGGTAAGAGAAGGTATTATAACCTTATGATAAAATAATGAAGCTTTAACGAAAGGAGTTAGAAACAGGTCATGTCCATCTTGGGGTTCCTACATGTGGTATCTGGTTCCACTCCTGACTACAGTTTCTTGTTAACACAGACGCTGGGAGGCAATAGCTATGGCTCAAGTGACTGGGTTCTTGCCACCCATGTGAGAGACCCGGATTGAATTCCTGACTCCTGGGTCCAGGCTAAGCCATTCCACTGTGGGTATTTGGTGAATTAACTAGCAGATGGGAGTTTGTTCTGTCTTTCAAATATATAAATCTATTTTTAAAAATAAGTCACTTTGTGTTCTATGGCACTGCCTAAATAAAGTGGCCTGCTCTCAATGCCTGGAATAAACACTATTCATTAGAAACATTGTAGGGTCTGCACTGTGACACAGTGGGTTAAACCACTGCCTGTGATGCCAGCATCCCATGTAAGGGCCAGTTCGAGTGCTAGCTGCTCCTCTTCTGATCCAGCTCCTTGCTGATGTGTCTGGGAATGCAGTGCAGGATGACCTAAGTACTTAGGCCCCTGCTACTTGTGTGGGAGACCCGGGTGGAGTTCTAGCCTCTTGGCTTTGGCTTGGCCCAGCCCCAGCTGCTTAGCCATGTGGGGAGTGAACCAGTGGATGGAAGATCACTCTCTCCCTCTCTCTGTTTACTCTGTCAAATAAATCAATCAATCTAAAAAACAAGAACCAAAAAAGCCTGTCACAGCTTGATCTGGGCTAAACTGAGGCCAGTAGCTCCACCCTCATTTCCCACATGGGCGGCAGGGGCTCAAGGACTTGGGCCGTCTTCTGCTGCCTTCCCAAGCACATTAGCAGGAAGCTGGGTGAGAAGCAGAGCAGCCAGGACTCAAATTAGCACTCAGATATGGGATGCCGGTGCTGAAGCAGCAGCTTAACCCATTGCAGCATAACACCAGCCCCTACAACAGCACCTCTAAAACGGTAAAAACGTCTTTCGACATCTGAAAAGTAAATTTTGGTAACTCCCATGGCCTTCAGAATAAAAACAAAAATTTAATTATCAGGAAGTTTAAGTCAAACTCCACAAACTACTAAGTGACTAGATAAGCAATATTTCAGCGGGCCATCCAACTGTGATGCTGTAATAAACAGTAAGAGACTACACTGTTATGACATCTGGGCATCAAGACATTTGATTAAGTCTGTTTGTGTTTTTATTTTTTTGAGTGAAGCTGTTGACAAAGGCAAGTTACTTAACAGTGCACCATTCTCCCTTCTGTAAAACGGTTAAAATTCTTAGCTACCTAATCAGTAAATAAAAGTAATACAATACTCTGTAACCTGCTATGCATATATTAAGATATCTACTTAGAGAAACCAGGGGAAATTGGGATTTTTGCATCCATTTGTTTAGTACTGGGCAGCGGAGGATGATGCTATGCTACTAGGTTGAAAAGCTAAATTATGAACTAGAACACTCATATATGCCAGCTTTTGGCTCATTTATATGATTATGTGCCATTTTTTACATCTGGTCAACTCAAGAAATAAGGGCTCTGAAAGTTTCTGAACAGTTCAAATTTCTAAGAAAATGTTTTACATTTATTCAGATACATCTTGGAACATCATATGCCAGGCACTATGTTGGGCCTTGAAGGAATCAGCAGTATTACCTGGAAACTCCTGGAAAGTGTTCTTTGCAGTGTAGAAGAGGAATAGAGACAGTTGGTGTAAGAGTTGAGCCAATCTGTGGGGAAGAACAAGCAGTTCTGATTGGTCTGAAAACAGCAAGCAAAGGAAGGGATATGAATGTCTTAACAGGCAGGCTTCACCCCGTCATTTGAATCAGTTCATTTCACAGCGAGCTCACCTGAATGAACCCCAGATTTTTTTCAAGTATACAGAAAGAACCAGTAAGGCTGTGAGGGGCTAAATGGCACTCTGCCCAACCAAGTACCTCCAACAGTGCTTGGGAAGCACTGAGTAGGCAACAAATACCAAATTCTTGGGTCTTCCTTTGTATATGGACACACAGCATACGGTCAAGAGTGAGTGATGAACTACGTACATAAACCTGCAGCTTCACTGGACCCTGGACAAGCCCTGCTCTTCACGTCTCAGAGAGGACAGGAATAGTAATCACCTCTCAGATTTGCTGTGAGACTCAAAGACACAAATCTTAGTCACTGCCTGGCACACAGCAAAACCTCAACAATCAGCTTTTACAACAGGTCTATAAACTCCTTTAGCTGCCACTCTCACGCGGGAATCTCTGAAAATGAAAAGAAGCATCCCCAGGTTTAGCACAAAACCCACCTGATGGCAAAATCTGACCTGAAGCTATTTATACTTTCTGCTAATCCCCACTTGGAGTGAATATTCACTTCGGGCGGCTGCATAAATAGCAATATGGGATAACAGCGCCCCCTCCACTCCGTGTACCCAGGGGTGTCACATCTCCTCTTTGTCTAACACATAAAGATGAAACCTCAATGGTTCTGAATTCCAAAATACAATGGGCCCCAAAGGCTGCAGTTAAGACACAGGAGGAAGGGACAAGGCGTGCCCAACATATGCAACGCAAATCAGTTTCAGAAGCAAATTAGTTTTTCAGGCTCAGACACCAGCCTTAAGAAAAAAATGCTATTCTTCCTGCCCAAAGAGCACTCTGCAGCAGAGAACTTCTGAACTATTCTGAAGGCTACCTCTGCCTTCTAAACATGCCTTTACAACTAGCAGGTGCACGAACGGTGTAGGAAAGCCATATTAATTCTTTTTTTTTTTTTTTTTTGGCGACTCTCGTTTGATGCTTCAACATTAAAATCTCGTTAAAAGCACTACTCTCGGTTCTCAGGCTAAAGAGGAAGACTGTGCAGCTATTTATTAGCTACGTGCTCCGAAACCCTAAAAGAAAAGCATAGAGACAATAGTACAGAACACGGCACGCATCAGTCGGTCGCGGGTGTTCCGCTAGTGTTAATATGTGGAGCCTCGTCAAATGGCAGACTGCCCCAAAGCAGCCTCCGAGATTCCCGAGCTGTTCCGATCGAACGATCCCTTTTCATCGGAAGCTCACGGGAGGCCGCGGCGCCCGAGCAGCCGCCCTTTCAAGGGGCCGCAGAACAAAGGGAGGCTGGGATCCAAGGCGGCGGCCCCGCCCCGCGCCCCGCCAGGCTGACGTCAGCGCCGGGGCCCGGGCGGCCGCCCCGCGCTGGCCCCCGCTGTCTTCTCCCCGCGAGGCGAACCGAGGGGCAGCCCCGCGGCGCTGGAGGGAAGCGAGCGAGGCCACGCGCGGGGCCGCGGGGAGGCGGCCATGGCCCTGGCGTGGAGGTGACGCGAGGCACCGCGCGCCCGCGCCCGCCAGCCCGGCCACCTCGGCCGCCCCGCTCCTCCCCGCGACGCCCCTAGCTCTGAAACAGCCTCACCGGACGAAAGCCGAGCTCGCGGCAGGGTCCGCAGGCGGCGGCGGCGCTTCCGAGAGGATGGAGCCGGAGACACCGGGAGCAGCCCACTGCCTGCAGCAGCGTCCACTGCGCCAGCGGCTGAGCTCCTCCCAGCGCCGGAACTGGAAGCGCCCAGCGCCACGCCCCGCCCCCTCCCCTGGGGCCGGGCGGCGCGCGCCCCCTGCTGGTCCCTGCGAGCACTGCGGCCCTCCCGGGCTGGCTCGGGTGTGGCTGGTATTCGTTGTCTCAGCGGTCAGCGGCCACACTCCTGGCTCTCTAGGCATTCGGAGGAAATGCCCCGGGCAGGTGCGGTGCAGGGCATCCCGGCAGAAACTGCGAACTCGTTGCCTCAAGAATAGATTTTGGATTCCCTATGCTCAGTTCAGAATTTTACAGTCAAGCCTCGATTCCCACTGTGTGTGTGACTGCAGACAAATTGCAGCCGGATCTGGGATTCCTGACTCAGAAATGTGTGAACTGAGACGGAACCCATTAAAATCCGTTTTGCAAAGGCATTTCTCTAATATCTGTAACTCTAGTTTGTAAGAGGCTAAACCAGAGAGCTTCTTTAGGAAGGGCTTATAATTCATGGAATAATAGCAATCACAGTAAATAGCAAAATATGGCGCAGTGATTAATTACGGATTTTGAGCAGAGTAACTAGGTTTGAAATTAACCTGCTACATCCTGGCTATGTTATCTTAGGACAGTTACTGAACCTCCTTAATTGTCGTAGTGCACTTTCTGCTTCTCTAATAGAATAATAAAAGTAAGTAAATAAAAACAATAAGTAATAATAACAATCAGTAAAAGAGACATTTTCATTTGGAGTTCTGGAGCCTGAAAGCCCAAGATTGGATGGCTTCATGTGGTCAGCTTCTGGTAAATGCTTCAGGGTTGAAGAACAGGGGCTTAACTTTCAGGGTGGCTAACCCATTTCTGGGAGACGGCACTAATCCATCCAGGAGGGCCCCGCCCACATGAATACCTGCCCTAGGTCTAACCTCCCAAGACTGCTGTATTAAGGAATTAAGCCTCAAAAGCGTTCTGGGGGGGGAAACCCCAGCACTTATCACCACTTTTCCTGTTAGAAAGTGAGAGCAATCATGGTATCTAATGCAGCTTGTGTTGTGAGCACTAAATAAAATAACACACGTAAAGTAATTGACTTAGAGTTGGCATATGGTAAGGGTGCATTCAACTTAAATGTGGTTTCCACTTTTTGTTGTGGTGTTCTGGTACAAGTGCAGGTTGTATTTTGATTTAGAATCATGGGGTACTTCTAAATATCTGTTTGCTAACACAGAAAGTATCCCCCCCTCTCAAACACACACACACACACACACACACATTATTCAGTAAAGTTAAATAAAAATTCCCTTATTTTTTTTTCCAAAATCTGGGGCTGTTTTTTCGCATGGCAAAAAATATTTTCCTATTCCAAATCAAACATGAAGAGATACATGGGCACCCAGATTAACAGGCCACATTCCTGGTGAATTTCAGCCACAATTCGGAGACATTTAAAGATCAGAACCCAGGGAAGCTGCCAGGAAGTCTCGTTCCTTATATATCCTGTACATCAACACTTCAGTGTCAGTCAGCGCTCACGCTGACCAACATGGGGTAAGCGTTCTAATCATCACAGATGAGGAAACAGAAAAGATTGAGCAGCTTGCCCGAGGTCAAAGAGCTAAAAGCTAAAACCAAATGCTTAAGCAGGCATTCAACTGACCCTAACAGCAATATTCTTGATCATTCTACAAAACTAAACATCAAATCATACATGCATACATTTTTATAAATTTTTTTTATTTTCTTGTCCCTGAGCTGGGTTGCCTCACAGGGAATATTCCACCACAGACACATTTCCAAAATTTAGAACTTGGCTTTTCATAAAAAGACCATTTGGTAAATGCCACAGGAGAACTGACTTTTGCAATGAAAATTGTATTTACCTTGTAAATTTAGATTCTGGGATATTATGCTTGTTCAAAATATAGTATACATCCTCATGACCAGTTATGGAAACTCTTTTGAGTTCTTAGTGTATCAGATTGGGCTAAGGTCTCAAATCCCAATAGGAAGCAGACTGGAATCCTAAAAATATGCATGGCTTTGAGTCCTAAATTCATCACTGTGACATTAACTTTAAATGTCTCACCACGTTTTACCTTTAAGAAAGTACTTTGAGAAACTGCATTTTGTGAGTGATGAAAATGAGGCTTCAAAAAATTCATCTATGTTGGCTGAGGTCACACAAGGCTAGCTATCAGATTCCAGAGGCAAGGCAAGCATTCTCTATAGCCGTGTTTGTGACCACGAATGCTCTCCCTGCTGCTTCTACCCTCTCCTGATCCCAGTGGTTTGCAGCAACTCTCTAGGCCTCCATTTGCATTGGAGCCAGTGTTGTGGCACTGTGGGTAGTGCCACTGGTTGCAACACTGGCATCCCATATGGGTGCCAGTTCGTGTCCTGGCTGTTCCACTTCCAATCCGGCTTCCTGCTGGTGACTTAAGAAAAGCAGCTGAAGATGACCCAAGTACTGGGCTCCTGCACCCACGTTGGGAGACCCAGGTGAAGCTCCTGGCTCCTGGCTTGGGCCTGGACCAGCCCTAGTCATTGTGGCCATCTGGGGGAATGAACCAGCAGATGGAAGATTCTCTCTCTCTCTCTCTCTCTCTCTCTCTCTCTCTCCTCTATAACTCTGACTCTCAAATAAATAAATGAATCTTTAAAAGATTAAATGAAGAAAAAAAAAAAAAAAAAAAGGCCGGCGCCACAGCTCAACAGGCTAATCCTCCGCCTAGCGGCGCCGGCACACCAGAGTCTGTCCCGGTTGCCCCTCTTCCAGGCCAGCTCACTGCTATGGCCCGGGAGTGCAGTGGAGGATGACCCAAGTGCTTGGGCCCTGCACCCACATGGGAGACCAGGAGAAGCACCTGGCTCCTGGCTTTGGATCAGTGCGGTGTGCCAGCTGCAGCGCGCCGGCCGCGGTGGCCATTGGAGGGTGAACCAACGGCAAAGGAAGACCTTTCTCTCCGTCTCTCTCACTGTCCACTCTGCCTGTTGGAAAAAAAAATTAAATGAAGGGAGAATTATGAGATAAATAATGTAAATCATCTTATAAAGAGACACATTATCTTCCTACCTCCCATAACTGCCACCATAATTACCAAAAATGCCTAACAATAGAGAAATATGAACTAATGAATTGATTCTAAATACACTAAAAAATAGAAGCACGAGTAAAACACAGTCCTCCTGGGATTGCTAGAATGGAAATCCAGAGACATGTTCTCCCTGGCTTACACAGCAGTGGCTGTTTCTGGGTCCACTTCTGCTCCCACAGATACAACTTACGCCAGATAACTTTGAATTTGGGCATCTGTGCACTCCTCCGCTTCCTCACTTCAGCAGCGCTTGCTGTTGCCTTAGCTAATCTCTGCGCCTGAAAGTTCCAAGGAGATTTTGTTGCAGTTCCCTTTTCGTGCAAGGAAGCATTCACTCTGGCCACAAGGTCATCACCTGGCCACAAACGCTCTCATGAATCTGTGTACTGTTCTAACACATACACTCCCTCCCTGCAAACAAGGAACAGTCAGGCAATTCTGGCCCCAACCAGGGACACTACGCGACATGGAATGTAGGGGGCACGCAGGTTTGCAGGCACTGATTAACATAGAGAGAAGGAAACGTCTGTCTTGACAGTGAGTGCTAAGGATGAGAGTGAGCAGATGTGTCTCCTTATCGCTTGGGAAGCTGTCATCTGGTTCCTCACTGCTTCCCAATCAGACCAAGCCCAGGTGCTCAGGTCTTTTCCTCCTGTTTTATCTCAGAATTCTCTATGCTTTGGCAGTCTTTTTTTTTTTTTTTTTTTTTTTTTTATAGGCAGAGTGGACAGCAAGGCAGTGATCTTAAATACAGCTGCACGTTTGCTGAACTGAAAAACAGTTCGGACAAATCAGGTCTTCATGTTTCCAGACCACAGAAAGAGAGGAGGCTGATGTCAGAATAAGATCAGGCGGCAGAGAAGGCACCAGCACCAAAGACAGAGCAGCTAACTCAGGAGAGGGCACACAGTGCTTCCCAAGCCCGAGTCCGCCCCGACTCCACCCAGAAGTGCGGCTCCACAGCGTGTAGTCAGGTGCTCATTTTAAGCCATGGAAAGACACATGTGCTGGCCTCCCAGAACAGAGGGCCCCCCTCAAAAGCTGTACATGGTGATCAGACGCCGAGAGCAGCCAAAACCCTTGCCAAATGGCAGGGGTAACCAGAGCATCCAGAGACCGCTTGTTCCAATGTCGTCACAGGAAATCCCAGCCTGGAAGGGCAAAGAGGACGTCGGGCTGTTCCTTTCACTGTGCACCCAGCAGAGGAAAGAGCAGTGTCCCTGCCCCTTGTCCCCATCCCTGAGGGTGGGCAAATAGGAAGAGCAAGGAGCTCACCAAGATTTAAGGTTTACTTTAGCTGTGTGAAGGGACGTTCTTGTCATGCGGGTGTATCACTGAGACTAGAGAGTTGTCTTGCTGAGATTCTCACTAAAACGAGTGGAGTGTTCTCAGGAGTAGCTTCCATCCCCACCATTAATTGCGTTCATGCAGGGAATCTAAGAGTCACAAGGCAGCCGTACTCTGGACTTTGATCAGACTTGTAAGGAGCTTGGAAATGGTCATTCCTGTCTACATCAAGAAAAAAAATGAACAAACTAGAAATCAAAAGCCCCCTTAGATCCATCAGGGAGTGGATGCTACAGTGCAAACTATTGCTTGAAAAATTAGAGTGACAGCCGGATACAGTGACTGAGCACACCCCAGAGTGGAATCCTCAGAGGGGTCAGCACGCGGTGCTAGGACAACCTGGGATGTACCTGCTGAGGCCCTGGAGGCCCATGGGGACACACATGACCTTTCACAATGCCACGAGTGCCCGGTCACACCAGGGCTGCCACACTTTGTGTGTTTTCTCTCAGTGAGTTTCAACAGTCTCCCAGTATATATTGGAGAAACAACATCTCCTTAAAGAACCATGGTATGGTAAAGCCAGCTAAGCCTCCACCTGTGGCACCAGCATCCCATACGGGTGCTGGTTTGTGTCCCGGCTGCTCCACTTCTGGTCCATCTCTCTGCTATGCCCTGG